AGCAGGAAGGTGGGACTTTAAGAGCAGAAAGAATAAAACCAGTGCAGTCGCGCACTCTTGTGAATTAGAAACACCTGGAATGTAAAACATGTATTTCATGGGAGCAGTCATGAAAAGGCAAAGGAAACTTGCATGTAGGACTCCAGGTAATGGGCACTTCAGGTGGTGGACGAAGCAAATAGATTGGTGTGGAGGACCGTTGGGGAGCAGGTGACTGTCAGTCTTGGTTTTTATTCTAGGTGGTAGGTTTGTGGAGTCCTTGTTATGTGATTGAAAATAACTAGGTAATTAATTTTTTTTTGAGAGGTTTTTGCTATAGAACGCGTGTGCTCACCAGAAGGACACAGAGAGAGAGAGACAGAAAGTGAGAAATCACCCCCCGGGGAGATGGCCATGCTGCAATCCCCTCTCCTCCATTCTCCTCTTGGTATCTTGGGCACGCACACACATGCACCCGGCGTGAGTTTAAGCCACCGGGTCCAGGCTCAAACCGCAGTTGACTACATGGGAGTCTAGCGACATAGCCATTACACTAACTGCTGGTCCTGGTAATTAAATTAAAAAAAAAAAATAACCCAGAAGGAACTGGGACTTCCAAGGTGAAATAGAAACTTATGTTCATATGGATCTTAGTTCTTTTGTTACCTATTTTGTCTTACCTTTTAAGAAGCAGCATTACAATACTTTGTAATTGAAAGTAATAGAAATATATTGATATAAAGTTAACAAACTAAAGTAGACGGGGCTCATATACTGATAAGTATCGGATACTTCATAGAGTATTGAGTGCATAAACTATTTATAGCTATTTCTGTTCTTTCATAGAAATTTTACATTTTTTTCCCTTTCTTAGGACAAAGTTAAACTATAATCCTCCAAAAGATGATGGATCAACTTATAAGATTGAACTTGAAGGGATATCGGTAATGGTTATGAGAGAGATCCTGGATTACATCTTCAGTGGGCAGGTACGATGAGAAGCAAAGGAAGGAAGACCTAAGTAGAGGCTTCTGAAGCTCAGGGTGAGGGTCTCCTTTCATCCACCTACGACAAAGCCGCACAGTCATTTTCATCTTCCGCCATCGTGTGCTTTACCAAGTATCCCTGCTGATTGTGTACCCATAGGTGTTCTTCCAGGGCTCTGCTCCCGAAAGAGAAAGTGAGGACCCGAGTCCTCATGGTTTCCACCATTCGAACTCCACCTTCCACCTTCCAGCATGGGATGGGACACGGGATGCTCCCTTCTCCGCTGGCTCCTGTTCTGAGTCTCGAATCCAGTCTTGCTTCTGTCCACATAGTTGAGGCACTTGTTCTGACTCCATGTCATGCAAAGAGGAGCGCGCTTGGGCATTAGGGCTTATGTGTAGAAAGGAAGACCTCTTTGAGGTCCCCCCAGGAGGGAGAATGGTAGCACATTGTGGCCTGTTGCCTGTGCAGTGCAGCTCCCCGCCCAGCCCTCTCTCTTCAGTTCCCTTTGCTGTCTGCACTCGCTCACACTTCGGGAGATGTAATGATGCCCGGGGTAGGAGCTGTCAGTGATCAGACTTCTTGTTCCTTGCTCTGCTCCTGTCCCCCACCCCCCGGTGCATGGAGGAGAGCACGCGGCCTCCAGACTCCTCTCCGGTGTGCATCTGGGCTGGCTCCTCACAGAAGGAAGGGTGGCGCATCGTCCTGTGCTTCTGCAAGGATGCCTTCTCTCTTTACTCTTTCTGGAACCCCATTCCCCATGTGCTCCTCTGTCCCTTCTTCTTCACTTTTCCTGTACTTTCCCTCTCTGCAAGTGCTGTTTCCACTACATGTTTTCTCAGTATTCTGAGTGTATCGCTTACTCCGTCTGAATAGATTCCTTCTGTCCAGAGTCAAACTCAGTGATTCTCATCCTTTTTGCTTTGATTTCATGAGGTTACCACCTTTTCCTTTCTGTTAACACTAGGTGGTGGGTGTGTGCGTATATATGATTTTAAAAGCAAATGAATTTTGGGGCCAGCAGGTGGTGTAATGATTAAGGTGCTGGACTCCCACTTAGCCGACAATGGTTTGAGTCCCAGACCCGGCAGCTTGAAAATCATGCTAGGCACGTGTGCGTGTATGCCCAAAATCCTGAGAGGAAGATGGAAGAGAAGGGATTGCAATATGGCCATCCCTGCTGGGGGATTATTTCTCACTTTCCCTCTCTGCCCCTCCCTGTCTGGCAAGCACACATGCCTTAAGGGAAAAATTATTTTTAAATAATAAAAATTTAAAAATAAATGAATTTAAATTAATTTGGGGAGACCCCTTAAAGTTCTGGAAATACTAGGTATCAGTCCACATCTAGGCTTGAGACCAGTCTCTTGTCTAATGCAATTTAGTGTTTTTTTCCATGCCTCTACTTGTATAGTCTACAAGTATCTGCCGTTCTGTGGCCAAATTCCATTTCTCGTATAAGCAGGGCATTTCCCCTACTCAGTATACTGTACTTCTCTCTGCAGTTCTGTTGTTCAGTTTCTAAGGCAATTGGCAATTATGTGTTTTGTTTTTTATTTTTGTATCTGTGGTACAAAACATGTAAAATGTGGTAAAAACGTTTCTTGTTGCCGCTGTGAAATCTCTCCCTTATTTACAAATCTGAATTGTGGTGAAGTTCCCATGCTTTGGGGGAGTCCACTACTGATTGAGTTGGTACTGAGAGGCCCATTTCTTTCCATTGCCTTACTGGTGGATGGAAAATTTGGAAGTGGGTGGAGGAAGATGCATCAATCAGGAAAATGAAGAAAATTAGAAAGTAAACTTTGCAATGAGAAAACAAAACCTTAATTTAAGGATTTACTCCAAAAAGTACTTTTGAGATCATATTGTCTGTATTGCACAGTGTCCAAGTACAGTGACTTGGGATTCCGAGAGAGGCTTCTGACGCAGTAGAAACCCCTCTTCTCTCAGGGGCCTTGCGTTCAGTCTGGCATTACCATTTGGCAGTAGAATGAAATTAAAGTATTGGAGGCAGGATCTTCAACCTTGCAGGTATCTTAAAGAAACCACCTACAGTTTACTGAAGAATGTAGAACTCCCACATCCTGAGCATTTCTGTTGTCGAGATTGTCCGTAAGTTAGGAGTGAGCAGGGTACACATCAGAAGAGGTATTGATGGGTAATGGTATAACCAGGGAAGATCTGGGAAAAGCTAACCAAGGATGAATCTGCTTAGAACCTTGATAGAAGCTTCCTTGGGACCCTCAAACTCTTGAACAGAACATGCTAGGTTGACTACTGTGAAATTGCCAGTGTTTTGTTACCCTCCAAAAATGGAAACCTCACGTAGGTCAGCCTCACAGAATAGCGGTTTGGGTCTTAGTATGCACATTCCAACGTAAGACATTTATCATGCTCTTACAGATCAGGCTCAGTGAAGACACCATCCAGGACGTGGTGCAGGCCGCAGACCTGCTGCTGCTGACGGACCTGAAAGCCCTGTGCTGCGAGTTCCTGGAGGGCTGCATCGCCGCCGAGAACTGCATCGGCATCCGCGACTTCGCCCTCCATTACTGCCTGCGCCACGTGCATTACCTGGCCACGGAGTACCTGGAGACCCACTTCCGGGACGTCAGCAGCACCGAGGAGTTTCTAGAACTGAGTCCTCAGAAGCTTAAAGAAGTGATTTCTCTTGAGAAGCTAAACGTTGGCAATGAAAGATATGTATTTGAAGCAGTCATTCGGTGGATAGCACATGACACAGACTTAAGAAAGGTACCGGTCCTGACACCGTGATCTTGTGTTGCCTCTGTGTTTATGTTTTTGGCATTATTCATTTCATTGTATTTATTGTTATTATTGAATTTGCTATAGAGCACATGAGCTCACTAGAGAAAGGGAGAGTGAGAAAACAAGCCACCAGGTCTGGGTCTCGAACCGAGGTTGTTCATGTGGGAGTCCCACCGCTTTAACCACCACACCCCTGCTAGCCCTGCCTCTTTGGTTTTTCGATCCAAATTATACTTATTTTTCTTCCACAGTTTGAAAGACTACTGTGACCTAAAAGATAACCTGTAAAACACCCTTCCATGTGTCACTGAAGTGGTTGGTTTTTCATACCTGTCTCCATAACCCCCTGTGACTCACGATATGTCTGTGTAATGTTAACTTTCGTTAGGAATACGCTAGCCTTTGCACATTGTTTTCAGTGAGAAGATGCATTTCTAGAAATGCAATGTCCCCACCCTTGCTTTCAGAGTTCTCCACTCTGGTGGGCTCTCCCCAACTGGAACCTTGGTGCCCAGTGAGCTCGGACGAGGGGGGAGATTGGTCAGAGGAGCTCAGCGCACGGACTCTCTGTGGAATAGCTGACACCTTGGGGAGGGTGGCGAAAGCAGAAGGGCCTGAGTTCCTGTAGCCATGCAGTTCCAGGAGGGAAGGCTCTAAGAGCATCCTCTTTTCTAAATTAAAAAATGGCGGGGGAAGTTTGCCATAGGGTAAAACAGACAGAAAGAGGGAAAGTGAGAAATCATCCCCTGGGGTCCTGGACACACCACAGTCCCTTCTCCTCCATTCTCCTCTCAGGATTTTGGGCACAAATCCACATGCACCCAGCAGGATTTTCAAGCCGTCAGGTCCAAGACTCAAACTATGATCGGCCATGTGGGAGTCCAGCATCTTAACCTCCATGCCACCTGCTGTCTCCAAGAGGGTCTTTTTTAGAAATTCAACTTCTACATATCAAGGAAGGCTATGGGAAGCAGCAAAGGGGCTGGTAACGCTCAGTCAGGCAGTGCTGGCACTTAGAACTGGCATGCTGATAATCTGCCTGGTAACCGTGTGTGTGTTTGTTTGTTTTTTACAAATTGGAATCGTGTGTTCTAAAAACTGCTTTGCATCCCCCGTTTGTCCTGTCCGTTCTTCCCGGGCTGCAGGTGCACATGAAGGACGTGATGTCGGCCCTGTGGGTCTCTGGGTTGGACTCCAGCTATTTACGGGAGCAGATGCTGAATGAGCCGTTAGTCCGGGAGATCGTCAAGGAGTGCAGCAACATCCCACTCAGCCAGCCGCAGCAGGGGGAGGCCATGCTGGCCAACTTCAAGCCCAGGGGCTACTCCGAGTGCATCGTGACCGTCGGCGGGGAAGAGCGAGTGTGAGTACGGCTGGGCTTGTCTGAACAGCGGCACGCAGCAGAGGTGGGCCCATTAACAAGCCTGTCTGGTTTTTCAGTATCTAAAGTATAGTAGCCATCAACTTAAAAAAATTTTTTTGAAAGAATTATTTTATTTAACTTTATTTTTTATTATTATTATTTTCCAGTTTGATCAGAGAGACATAGAGCAGACAGAGAAAGTGACAAAGCAAGCCACCAGGTCCACAACTTGAACCATGGTCGGCCATGTGGGAGTCCAGCTCCTTTAACCACCACGCCGCCTGGCAGCCCCCGACTTTTAAATTGTTTAAACTTTCTTGAGAGCACTAAAATTAGTTATGGCCATTATGAACAGAACTGTCTAAAACATGTCAACTGCTGCTAATCAACCGCTTATTCCCATAGTTCCCGGAAACCAACAGCTGCGATGCGATGCATGTGTCCTCTCTACGACCCTAACAGGCAGCTCTGGATCGAACTGGCCCCTTTAAGCATGCCCAGGATTAACCATGGAGTTCTCTCAGCAGGTACTGTTCTGTGCAAATTTTACTTCAACACAAGGTCAAGTAGTATGTGATTTCAAGGGTTGCACACAATATGCCTCCAAACTTTCTAGAGACCTAATTGGACTGTCTCCCCATGATATTTTCAGCAGAAGCCTGGTGTCAAGACTACGTTTAGAAGAGTGTGTCTTCCATCAGTCCTTGCTATTCTCAGATGTGTAATTCAGAGCTCCCTTTTTTTTTTTAATTTTAAGTTTTTGTTATAGGGCGCGAGGGGGGGGAAGGAAAGTGAGAAATCACCCTCCAGGGGAAATGTCCTCACAGCAGTGCCCCCCCCCCCCTTCTCTTCTTTGCCCCCCCCCCCCTTCTCCTCTTGAGATCTTAGGCATACACACACACACACACACACACACACACACAGCACGCGACATGGTTTTCAAGCCGCCAGGTCTGGGACTTGAACCGCAAAGTCCTCCATGTGCAATATAGTACCTTACCTTCCACGCCACCCATAGCCGTCAGAGCTCCTTTTAAGAATGCAGTGGAGGAGCGTGTGCCTGGTGACTCACTGGCAGGGAGAGCAGACTTCAGAGATTCTTACCCCCGTCTGGCTGCACAGTCACACGTGGAGCCTGGGGTTGCTCTGAGCCATGTTATTTCTGTCTTTAAAATACACACAGGTTAGAATTAGAGTGTGGAACTATTGGGTTGTTGGAAAAGTCATGACAGGTTTTTCTATGCAAAAATGAGTCATGACTTTTCAGAATGCCCAATATATAAAATATATAAAAGCAAACATGTCCTGTGAGAACTGGCAATAGTTTAGTTACTTTACTGCAGAAAGTATATCTTACTTGACCTTTCCAAGTTTAACAGCTGCTCCCTGTTATTTGAAGCTCTTGCATATGGAGATAGAAGAGATTGCAGTTGGGGCCAGCAGATGGCATAATGGTTACATCTCTGGACTCCCACATAGTTGACCAAGGTTTGAGTCTTGGACCTAGTGGCTTAAAACTCAAGCTGGGTGTGTTTGTGCGTACCCAAAATCCCAAGAGAATAGATGAGAAGGGATTGTGGCATGGCCACCCCCGGGGGGTGATTTCTTGCTCTGTCTCTTTTTTCCCAGCAAGCCCACAAACCCTATAGTAAAAATCTCTCTCGCTCTCAAAAAAAAAAAAAAAAAAAGAAAAGGTTGTAGTTGCCTCACTGTCATTTTCTGTCCATGTCCTCTGGACTCGCCCATTGAGTTCCCTGACAAGAGCCATTCCACGCAATTCTGATTACATTAGCTGTCCTCCTAAAATCCTGTTACTGCCTCTGATTTCCCACTGACATTCTCTCTCAGGTTTTGAAAGGTATACCATACCACATCACACCGTACCGTGGAAATGGCTAAGGCAGTGCTGTGGTGGAGAGACGGAATCGTTTCACGAGTCCCAAAACGATTCAAGTTATTGCCAATGTAAAGAGTGCTGGCTGGGACAGGGTGGCCAGCTGATGTGGGTCTAGTTTCACTGTTGTGTCTTCTCAGAATTAGCTCCGTGAAGTTTCCCTTCTGTCACACGTACACATACTCGGGATTTTCACGCACACACGTATCTTATCACAAAGGTTCTCAGGTCCCTAACCTGGCAGAGTTCCAAGAGGGGCTGGTACTTTAGAAGCTGAACAGTGAGGAGAGTAATTGTGCACAGTTGGACCGACCCAGACTGAAATGGCTGGCTACTCCTTTCCGTTTGTCCAGCCCGCTCCATTTCTCTTTCTGTTTTTTGTCTTTTCTTAAATAGATTTTGACTCTTTTTTTGTCATCCAGTTTTTCCTTACTACTCATTTGAAAGTTATATTCTTAATTATATTACTTTGGAGAGATTATCTTAAAATTTAGTCTATCAACGTTAATCAATACATTTGTTTTCCTTCAGGATAATTTTATTTTTTATGTTCCACAGTCTTACAGTGTTAAAAATATATTATTAATAAATAAATATAGCACAAGAGGTCTTTGTCAAGTTCATGAGAAGTGAATTTTATGAAAATCCTATGAATGCATTTCAAAACTTTTTAGGCAACAAAATAAACTTGTACTTTAATTCCATTTTTCCACGAACTTTCTGATGTCACCTTATATATATTTTTATATAAATATTTTATATATACGTATGGATGGGTGGATAGATTATACATAGATCGTGTTCATTTAGGTTTACCACTCTCTCTAATCATTCGTTCTTTCTTTTTTTTTTTTAAAGGTTTTTGTCATAGGGCATTTGTACTTGCCAGAAAGAGGCAGAGAGAGACAGAAGAAAAGTGAGAAATTACCCTCCCAGGGAGATGACCATGCCGCAATCCCTTCTCCTCCATTCTCCTAAAATTTTGGGCGTGCACACATCTGCGCTGGCATGATTTTCAAGTTGCCAGATCTAGGACTCAAACCATGGTTGACCATGAGGGAGTCCAGTGCCCTAACCACCATGCCACCTGCTGTCCCCTTCTTCTTTCTTACACCTCACACTTGACGTAGGATCATTTTCTTTCTCTCTGAAATTCATTCGGTTTCCTTTAACGTGGGTCCTTTGGAGGAAAACTGTCCAATTTGTCTGCAAACATCATCATTTTGCTTTAATTCTTAAAGGACATTTTTGCTAGCTATAGAATTTTAGGTTGGTATTTATTATTTTTCAGCACATTGAAGATGTTTTTCCACTCACTTCTGGGTTTCATTGTTAAGTCTATTGTCAGTTTAAAATCTTCGTTTCTCTGGGTTGTATTTAAGATTTTCTGTTTATTTTCTATCATTTCACTACAGTGTACATAGTCTGTATTTTATTTTAAGTTATGTCATATTTGGGGGGAGGTAGGCTTATTAAGTCTTATCCCAGCCTTTTGTTAATTCTGGAAAAGTCTTATCTATCATGTCTTCTCATACTGCCTCTCTTCCATTCTTCTCCCTCTTTTGGAAGTCAGATTAAATACGGTGATACTTTTCTGGCCATTCTCTGCCTCCTGTTTTTGTTATTTGCCATCTTTTTGTCTCTCCATTGCCACTGCCTTGATTTCTTCTGGTTTATTTTCTCGTCAGTGAATTATCTCTTTAACTCTATGACTACTATTAAACCTATTCACTGATATTTTTTTCTTTTTGCTAAAGTTCTCTTTAAATCTTCAAATATGCTTCCATTTCTTTTTGTTTATTTTAAAATTTGATATAGAGTGTGTGTACTTGCGGGGAAGAGACAGAGAAAGCGAAATTGAAAAATCACCCCCAACCGGGGAAAATCATGCTGCAGTCTCTTCTCTTCTCCTCCTGAGATTTTGGACATGCACATGTGCTTGGCATGTTATTCAAAGGTGCAGGACCTGAAGATGTGGTCGGCTGTGTGGGACCCAGCTGCCTTAAGCCCCGTGCCACCTGATGATCCTGTTGACATTTCTATAGTTCCGTGTTTCTTAGCATTACTTTCACGTTTCCTTTTGTCCTTTTTTTTAATTTTTAATTTTTTTTTTTATTATTTAACACGATGAGCATTGTTTCATTGTCTGGTTACTGCAATAGTTGGAGTCTTTGCAAGACTCTTTTCCATTGTCTGCTTCTGCTAGTTCTTCCCATAATTTCCTGATATGCCTGAATATCTTTGGCCAGAATCTGGTTAAGTTTTATTAAAAATTATTTGTAGGAACAATTTCATGCCTTAAAATCTTAGAATCTGGCCTAGATGAAGGTACTTTTTCCTAGTGAAGTTTTGCATCTGCTGGTTGCCTGAAAACACTCCTGATTTGGACTTCCTGTTAAGCAGATTCAGGGCTGGAGATTTCCTGGATGAGCAAGGAGGTTTTACTGAGTACTGATTCCGGTCAGCCCTCATCCTGAGGATGTAGCACTTTGAAGATGGTCTCCTGCCAAAAGTCACACCTTGTGTGGGCTTGAGGATTAGATTTCTTTTCTTTTCTTTTTTTTTTTTAAGGATTATTTTATTTAACTTTATTTATTTATTTTAATTTGACCAAGAGAGAGAGAGTGAGTGAGCAAGAGAGAGAAAGAGTGAGAAAGCAAGCCGCCAGGTCCGGGACTCGAACCGCAGTCAGCCATGTGGGAATCCAGTGTCCTTAACCACCATGCCACCTGCCGGCCCCGATTTCTGTCTTTTTTATCCCAAAATAAAAGGTTCAAATTTTCCTCAGACTGGTAAATGTCTTTAGAACAAAACAGTTCGCATGCCTGGTAACCTCTGGGTTACTGCTTTTCCCTTCAGTTTTACTTTATTGTCTCTTCGTCTTCCTTTCTTCTAAGATGATTCTTAAAATGTTTTATTCAGCAATTTAGGTGTGGTTTGCAGAATAACCTAATCCACCGTTACCCCAAACAGGAAGTTAACAGTCGCTCTGAGACCCTGATGTGCAGATACCCTGCACGCGGGTGCCCCAGAGCTGATGCCCTAGGGCCTCGAATGAACAAAGGTGGGGATCAGGAGTCCTCTGAGAATCACAGGCTGGACTAGAGCAGGAGAACAGAGATGACCGGGAGCGGCCTGGTGACAGCGCAGGGGGTGTTCCACTTCCTTCGTGCCGTGGGTGATGGGAGCCCACTCAGGGAGAGTAAGGAGTAAAGCAGGATGGCTAACGCGGCTCCGAGTTTGCTCCATCACCCAGGGTCAAGTGAGATGGTCCTGCAGCCCGAGGGCAGGTGGCGGCTGTTGGAGACTGTCTCTGCATGCTCTCCGTCCATGCTGTGGCTTGGCAGGTGTCGAAGACCTACATCTTGGGTTTCTTGTGTGTCTCCTGTGGTCTTTGCAGAAGGATTTTTGTTCGTATTTGGGGGCCAAGATGAAAATAAGCAGACCCTGAGCTCGGGAGAGAAGTATGATCCAGATGCAAACACATGGATGGCCCTGCCTCCCATGACCGAGGTGAGTCCTGCCCCCACCTGAGACGCCGTTCCTACCCTTCCAACTCCCCTTTACTTTCCTTCCGCCTGCTCATTCTGGCCTCCTTCAAGGCCGCCTCACACCTTCTAGAAATGCTCTCACCCCCTGTCTTGTATTTGTTCTTTCCTGCCTCCAGCCACCTGCCCCCAGGTCCCTGCACAGCTTCCACCCTGGCTCCCCTCAGGTGTTCGTTCTTGGGATAGCCTTTCCTCCCGCCTCCCTCTCTTCATACCATGTGTCATTTCTCACATGCTAATTTTTTTTATTATTTATTGAATTTTTACTTACTGTTATTTGAAGTTTGCTATGGGGCACATGTACCCACCAGAGAAAGAGAGGGAGGGAGGAGAGTGAGAAAGCAAGCTGCCAGGTCCAGGACTCAAACTCATCAGTCATATGGGAGTGTATCGCTTTAACCACTATGCCACCTGCTGGCCCCAACTAATGTATTACTTTAAAGAATTATTTAATTTTTTTTTTTTTTTTTTTTTAAATTTGACTAGAGAGAGAGGGAAAGTGAGAAAGCAAGCTGCCAGGTCCAGGACTCAAACCACAGTTGGCCATGTGGGAGTCTGTTGCAGAATGATTGGACCTGGAGGTGGTTAACATCAGAGTGAGAAAACACAGGACGGTGTGCTCGCTCTGTCCTGAAAACAGGAACATGTGATCACGGCCCGATCAAGCGTTCCACCTGTTCTGTAAAGCTGTCTCTCAGTCCTGCCGCCACTCAGCAGCTGCCAGGGCTTTAGCAAGTGCTTGCTGCCTCTCTGGTGCCCTCTTCCTCAGTAAATGTACAGAGAATCAGCCAGTCTGGGCCGCACCCCTCTGAGACGGCCAGCCCCTGGCCTCCTGTTAAACGTCAGTGCTTGTCTTATGTGTTTCTCACTCACGTTTCCAGGGGTCCTACATTTTGGTTACATTGGATGGGACAGGAGTCCAATGCCTTACCCACCATACCACCTGCTGTCCCCAAGACATGCTAATATTTGAGATGCTTCTGCAACCTCTTTGATGGCGGTTGATTTCGTTCTGTTCAGTGTTCAGTTTCGGTGCTAGCATCGTGTTCGTCACCTAAGGGAACTGTGCCATCATTTGTTGGTGAATGAATGTTGAATACCTCAAGCTTCTCTGGTTCCAGACAGCCTTGGCACAGCCCAGTCCTCCCCATGCCTCTCCCTGCCATGAAGGGGAGGGTGTGTGCTGCCATGCTCTTACGTGGTCTGTGACACTCAACCTGCATTTGCGTGGTCTGTGACACTCAGCCTGCACTTACGTGGTCTGTGACACTCAGCCTGCACTTTCTTGGTCTGCCACACACTTATGTGGTCTGTGACACTCAGCCTGCACTTCCTTGGTCTGTCATGCACTTACGTGGTCTGTGACACTCAGCCTGCACTTCCTTGGTCTGTCATGCACTTACGTGGTCTGTGACACTCAGCTTGCACTTCTTTGGTGTGCCATGCACTTACGTGGTCTGTGACACTCAGTCTGAAGATGCTCACTCCCCGTTGCTGTAGAAGTGATCATATTGAAACAAAGCCGTCATTCTTGCTCTGTGAACTCTTGTGAATTGAAAGTAGCTGCTCTGCCGGTGAACTCAGCTTGCGTTCTATTCCCTGTTCTGAGGAATCGCTGGCTCTGGCTCCTCTGTGATGACAGAAGAGTACGTTTCTGGGGACAGCAGAAACATCCGAGCAGTGTTCCTGGGGAATGGTTCTGAACATGGCATTTCACGGTGGGAATGCTGGAGTAAAACGGTACCCCTCATTTCCGTTAATTCGGTGAGTGTACCTTCCGCTGCAGTCGCTGGCCTTTTGTGTACAAAGGTCTTTGATGTCTTTTCAGGCACGACATAACTTTGGGATGGTGGAGATCGACGGGATGCTGTATATTCTCGGAGGGGAGGATGGTGATAAGGAGCTGATCTCCATGGAGTGCTACGATATTTACTCTAAAACCTGGACGAAGCAGCCTGACTTGACTATGGTTAGGAAGGTGAGAGCCGTAACTCATGATAACTGGCTTGTTTGCAAATCGGATCTTAATGTTTCTTTATTTTCTAAATACACCTTTAAAAAAAATATGTGTGTGTGTGTGTGTGTGTGTATACCTATATATATATATTTATTTCTAAGGTTTTTGCCATAGGGAATGTGCTTTTGCTGGAGAAAGACAGGAAGAGAATGAAAGTGAGAAATCACTCCCTAGGGGGATGGCCACACCACAATTCCTTCTCCTCCATTCTCCTCTCAGGATTTTGGGCATACATGCACACACGCCGCGTGTGATTTTCAAGCCACTGGGTCCGGGACTTGAACCACAGAGTTGGCCATGTAGGAATCCAGCGTCTTAATACTTTTAATACAGCTCATAGTGTTAAAAGACCTAGGCTATAGGCTGCCGCCTTTGTTGGTGCTTGCCTTTGTTGCATGGCGAGCTCCATGCAGCACCACTGTGCGCCTTCCCACTTGGTGGTTCCTGTGAGTGCACTTTCCAGAGCTGGGCGCAGTTTACATCTTTGACTATAAGAATATGCTGCAGATCCTCTCTGACTGTAGATGTGTGCTCTTTCAGCTGATTTTTTTTTTTTTTCTTTTGCTATAGGGTCTGTGTGCTTGCTGGAAAGACAGAGAGAGGCAGAAAGACAGAGGCAAGAAATCACCCTGCAGCGGGGATGGCCACGCCACAATCTCTTCTCCATTTTCTTCTTGGGATCTTGGGCATGCACGTACACACGCCTGGCATGAGTTTAAGCCACCAGGTCCGGGACTTAACCTGTGGTCGACTACATGGGAGTCCAGCGACATAGCCATTATGCCAGCTGCTGGTCCTGAATTCTTTTGGTTAGGAATTGAATAATATCTTGTCCTCAGGGTCTCAATCATGAGGCCAGTCCATGGAGTGGTGGTGAAGACAGCTGTATGCCACATTGCTGACCCGCAGTTCGAGTCTCGGACCTGGTAGCTCAAGGAACATGCTGGGCATGTTTGCATGTTTGCCCAGAGTCCCAGAAGGAAGAGAGATGGAGGAGAAAGAATGGAGGAGAAGGGATTGTGGCATGACCATTCCCTAGGGGGCGTGCTTTCCCACATTCTCTCTCAATCTGTCTGTCCTGTCTCTGGTGAGTGCATGTGCCCTCTTAAAGAGTCAAGAATCATAGAACTTTGAAATAATGGTGGAAGAATAGACCAGAGGGACTGACAGAGGGCGTGGTGAAGGCACCGGGCTCCCACATGACCGACTGTGGTTTGAGTTCCAGGCCTGGTAGCTTGCTTTCTCACTCCGTCTCTCTGGCCAAATTTTAAAAATAAAATAATTCATTAAAAAAAAAAAGAGAGAGAGACTGGAAAGCTCTTTAAAGATCTGGATTACTGAGGCCAGGTGGTCTAAGTGTGTGTCCCAGGACATCCCTGAGAACCCCAGGCATGCCCTCGGACTTGTGATCCAGGCCGGCCAAGACTGGGTGTGGATCACAGCACCAGGGACTCCATTGAGAGGCATTTGTCTTTCTTGCTCTCTCTCTCTCTCTCTCTTTCTCTCAGATGAGATAATAAATTTCTTGTAAATTACAAAATTGTTAATTAGAAAACATTATGTGTAATAAGAGCTAAGAGCTCCTTTTCAGAGGATTAGCAATACCTGTGTTACTTTGCTCTTCTTGGGTTTTTTTGTTTTTGTTTTTGAGAGATTTTTGCTATAGGGCTTGTGTCCTTGCCAGAGAGACAGAGAGAGACAGAAACTGAGAAATCACACACACACACACACACACACACCAGGAGAATGGTCACGCTGCAGTCCCTTCTCCTCCATTCTCTTTTTCGGATCTTGGGCATACACGCACATGTGCCCAGCGTGAGTTTTAAACCACTGGCTTCGGGACTATGGTCAGCTACATGGCAGTCCGATGATGTAACTGCTCTGTCACCTGCTAGCCCAACTCTTGATTTTTTCTTTTGTTTTTGAGAGATTTTTGTGATAGGGCATGTGTGCTTTCCGGAGAGACAGAGAAACACAGAGTGAGAAATCACCCCTCAGTGGGATGGCCATGCCGCAGTCCTTTCTCCTCCATTCTCCTCTCAGATTTCAGGCACACACACACACACACACACACACACACACAAACGTCTGGCATGAGTTTAAGCTGCCAGGTCCGGGACTTGAACCACAGTCTACTACATGAGTGTCCAGCAACGTGACTATTACGCCATCTGCTGGTCCTGCGCTCTACTTGTTTTTAAAGCCTTGTGCTGGAACATTGGAAAGTTCTGATTCCTTTCCTCTGTATCTTGAAGTGCTCTGCAGACAATATTTATTCACCTCACTTTAATCGCAAATGTTGCTTTTTTCCCACTGTTGTTTGCTCCTTTCAGATTGGCTGCTATGCAGCTATGAAAAAGAAAATCTATGCCATGGGCGGAGGATCGTATGGGAAGCTTTTTGAATCTGTGGAGTGCTATGACCCGAGGACCCAGCAGTGGACTGCGATATGCCCACTGAAAGAGAGGAGGTGAGCCCGCGCGGAGGTGAGCCCGCGCAGATGTGGCCTTGCTGACTCGTGCTCATTGTGTCTGAAGCCCCTTAACCTGGCTTCTGCTCCTCTTTTCTTTCACTTATACTTGACTTGGCATTTCTTGAAAATTTGAGCAGGACTGAATGCTGCAGAGTTTATTTCTTTACTTATGTTCTAGATTGTCAGAGGGTGCATATGTTTGCTAGAGAGAGAGAGAGAGAGAGCACCCCCTAGTGGACCGTAGTCATCCCACATTCTCTTTCCTGCATGTCTTCATCCCATCAGGATTTGGGGGCATACACGCACAGGTGCCCCGGGTGTTTTTCAAGCAGCTGGGTCCAGGATTTGACCTGTGGTCAGTCATAAGGGATCTGCTTTCTATGTATACCACTTAACCACTAGGCACTATGGGACTGGCCAGAAGTTGCTCTAGTCTCCCCCCTTTCGTCCTTCTTTATTTTTTTTAATGGCAGAGGGTGCGTGTGCTTGTCAGAGAGAAATGGAGAGACAGAGAAAGGGAGGAAGCATGCCCCAGTGGGCCATAGTCATGCTGCAGTCCCTTCCCCTCCACTTTTCCATCCTGTCGGGGTTTGGACATACTCACACACACATGTCCAGTGTATATTTTAGTCCACTGGGGACAGGACTAGAGCTGTAGTCAGCCACGTGGGATCCAGCTCCCTTAACCACTAGGCCGCAGGGCTGGCTGTGACAGAGTTTAAACAGCTTACAGGGACCTACACACGGGGTCACGTAAACCCAATACGTAATGTGCTCTGCTCCGCCTTTCAGGTTCGGAGCAGTGGCCTGTGGTGTTGCCATGGAGCTGTATGTGTTCGGGGGAGTCAGAAGTCGTGAGGACATGCAGGGCAGTGAGATGATAACCTGCAAGTCTGAGTTCTACCACGACGAGTTTAAAAGGTAATTACGAGTGGCTCCACTTGACTTATATAGCTTTTTCCTTATGCTTGTAAAGTCACGGTTCGCTTTGCTTAGTTTCCAAGTTACTTCTTTGAATGATGTACTTAGAAGATAGGTCTAACGCATATTAGACATTTAGACGGTGACTTCAGAAGTGTTACTAACTTAAAGGAAAACGTAGAAATCTACTCTAAAATGTAGATCCGATCTGGACACTTACTTAAAATCATTCATTAGCTCCCTGTGGCTTTTTTTTTTTAAGAATTATTTTATTTATTACTTTTTTCAATTTGCTATAGGGCACATGTGCTCACCAGAGATAGAGAGAGAGAGCATGCCACTGGTCCCCGGGACTTGAACCACAGTTGGCCATGTAAGAGTACAGAGCCTTAACCACCACGCCACCTACCAGCCCCCAGCTCCCTATGGCTCTTAACTTAGCATATATGGCCTGTTGTGCAACGGCCTTGGTCTATTCCTACTAGTCTCAGACCTCTGGTTCTTCACACTGAGCCACATTTTCCCACCAAATGCATAGAATTATCTCAGCTCTGCTTGTGTGCTATTCTCTAAAATGTTCTTTTCTAACTTTTATCCAGTTAGTTGGCTTCTTCTAAAACTCTGCTTAGTTATCACCACCTAGAGAAGGCCTCCTCACATGTCCCAGTCCTCAGTCCATGACCCCTAACACTACAACGCCTCGCTCCGAGGTAGTGAGTGCTACCTTGAGCAGGCCACTTCAAGGTAAGGTTCAGCTTGGTCGGCTCTGCGTCCTAGTTCCCAGTGTCACACCTGGGATGTTTATACCGGACGTGCAGTATCATGTCGAATAGTGCTACAATGTGTCTGAAATTCTTCTCCACCTCCCTTTGCGTGTTATTGTTACAGCCATTAAGCCGTATTTTTATTGCAGTAACATCTTACAATCCTAAAGGAAGACTGCTGTGTTAAATATAATCTTGTTACAGTGTTTCGTTCATGTTACCAGAAGGGGGTGCCATAATGTCATATTTTTTCTTCTTCCTTTTTTAATGATTTATTTATTTATTTTTTCCATTTTCCCACAAACATTTACTCAAGATTGTGGCTGCCCTTTTGCAATCTCTACTGATTACAATGCTGGGCTGGGAAAGTCCAGGTTATTTTATGGTATGAATTCTTTCATATAGCTTCTCTAATCCTCCCTGCCAGGCAGAACTGTTTATGGTGCCAGGACATCCTTCCAAGAGCTTCCGTTGACTTACTTGAGATCCACCTTAGTTCCGTAGTTTTCTGGTTAATCTTCAGATATGACATTCCAGCCAAAGCCCTGTCTATTAACTAGTATTTTTAATTTCCAATTCAAAGCAACTGATATTATTGAACTTATGCAAATAACCATTCTACCACAAAATAAGAATACTCCCAAACATTTTCCAATTCCAGAGGGTCAGGAAGGGAGAAAAGTTTGTTTCCATTTAAAGAAGCAAACAAGAAGAAAAAACATTTTAACAAATTGCTGAACCTATCAACAGCTCAAAAGAAAGCAGTATCCTTAAATTGGGAAAACAGTACAGTAAAGAAAAAGGCAGTAATGTTTCTCTCAAAAGTCATAATGTTTTTTGTTACCTTGTTTCTGTGTGTCTTTAGTTTTCCTGGTAAAGTACTCCTTTCAGAATTTCTTGAAGAGCTGTTCTGGTGTTGGTAAATTCTTTCAGTTATCTGAGAATGTTTTTTATCTTTTCTTACCATATGAAGGATAATCTTGCCGGGTATAGTATTCTTGGTTGAACTTGTTTTTCACTTAACACTTCGAATATGTTTTCCCATTCTTTCCTCGCTCATGTTGTTTCTGATGAGAGGTCTGAGGTTAGCCTGATGGGATAACCTTTATAAGGAATCAGACGTTTCTCTCTTGCCAATTTTAGTATCTTGTGTTTGTGGATTTGGCCAATCTGGTTATGATATGCCTTGGAGAAGGTCTTCTTGGGTTGATTCTGTTAGAGATCCTTTGTATTTCTTGGGTCTAGATATTTGAATGGCTCTCTAGATTTGGAAAGTTTTCTTCCAGGATTTCATAGAGTAGATTATCAATGCCCTTATTAGTTTATTCACCTTCTGGGATACTGATTATCCGGAAGTTTGGGCGCTTAGTGGTATCTAGTATTTCTTGTATAGTACTCTCTCTCTCTCTCTCTTTTTTTTTAGTTCTTAGCTTTTTTTTTTTTTTCCCCTAGGTCAGAGGTTTTTCCTTCAACATCCAAGATTCAATCTTCTGCCTAGATTAATCTGCTTTTACTACTTTCGAGGGAGGTTTTGATTTCCTGTATTGCAACCTTCATCTCTAACAGCTCCATTTGATTCTTTCTTATGGTGTGTATTTCCTCTTTTAGATAGTGCAAGAACTTCCTCACCTCCTGGAACTTGTTGGCCCTTTTCTCCTACTTATTCTGGAATTCATGGTCTCTCAGCTCTTGCATCTCATTTAGTTTTGTCGCTATGAATATTCTGAATTCTCTTTCAGACATTTCCATGAGTTCTCTGTACTGTCTGTGGATGAGGAAGGACTATTCTTTTCACTTAGGGGAGAGATATTTTCTTGGTTTCTCATATTTCTTGTGCCTCTGCATTGGTTTCTGGTCATTTTGTGACAACTCTAGGGTGTTTAGCAACATGGTATCCACACAAAGATTATTAGTTCAGATTTATAAAAAGAAGTGTCATCCTTAAAGCAAGAAGTTCAATAAGTGTTGAGGATTTCAGTGACCCTGAAAGCATGCACCTAGGCCTGTCTAGGTACTCAGTGTGTGAAGACTGAAGAGCAGAGTGGGAAAGCAAGGTTGAAAATAAATAAATAAAAGCAAAAGGAAGAGAAGAGGGGGGAATAAACAACTAACAAAAAAGAGGGGGAAATTTTTTTAAAGGTAAAAAATGAAAACTGTGGCATGCTAGCGTGCCACGCGAAGATGCCAGGACACACCTCAGATTTAAAATGGCTTCTGAAATTAGCAAGAGAAAGAAAAGGTGAGGAGAAGTGCTTAAAAAAAAATTTTTTTTTTTAATTTAAAGAGAGAGACAGACAGAGCCAGAGAGAGGACAGAGGTCACCCTACCTTGCCTGAGTGTTTTGTGGATCTAGAAGATGAGGTGTAGCGCATAGCTTTAGTCACCTTGGTCCCTGAACACGCCAGTACACACCCCATAATGTAATATTGAATTTTGTATTATTTTGCTTAAATGAGCTAGCAGGGACTAGTTACTAAGATTTAGATATAGGGATAAATATTACTTGGCTCTTAATGCATTTTAAATGTATATTTTTTGCATAGCTTTTTTTTTTTTTTTCCAATTAGAGGGTCAGGCCATCATGGATTTTTTTTTCAATTTTTGCCATAGGGTGTGTGTACTTGCCAGAAAGAGCCAGACAGAGAGAGAAAGAGAAACAGAATGGGAAAGTGAGAACTCTCCCACGCTGGTGCAGTGGCCACACTGCAATCCCTTTTCTTCCATTTCCTCTGAGGGTTTTGAGCACGCACACACACGTGTGCAGTGTGTTTTTCAAGCTGCTGGTTTCAGGACTCAGACCATGGATCTGACCATGCGGGATCTAACACCTTAGCCACCACACCGTCTGCTAACCCCAGAAATGTTTTTTCTTTAAGTTTATTTCTTTTCATGAATGAGGAAGACCGAAGAGAGGCCCCCAGCAGAGTCCTGATGCCGTGATTCAGCTGAGCTTTAGCCAGCTGCAGATCGTGGGCACGCTCACACTTAGTGTGCTCAGGGAGGTGTGTGGACATGAGCCCAGAACCTTCCCACCGGGTCAGCCTCGCAAAGCATTGCGTTCCCACTGGCCCACTGGCCGGCTCCCTTGGGAAAATGTGTTAGAGAAAATAGAGCAATTCAGAGAGCATTAGCTATGGTGGTTTGCAGGGGAGAATTTCAAACACTTTACATTTTTCCTTCCTTAATACACAAATTACCGAGACGGCTGTCTCCCAAGGTATGAAGTAGTTCATTAATCCACTGGCCCAGTGACTCTCGTGTGTGTCTTTCCAGCTTCACTAACAGGCAGTAGCCAGTGTGTTTGCTTCGTGATAAAATATTGATATGCACCTTTTCCACAATGACCAAGTCACTGTTGAGACAGCGTGAGTTAGTAACATGCTTGCTGGAAGAGTCCAGTTTGCCTACATCTTCCTGCCCCTGTTTTGCTTGTGTATTATTTAAATCTGTCTATAAAGTTTCTCAGTCTGCCCTTGATAAGCTTTGAATTCCGAGCAATTAAATTACATACTTATATTTATATTAGATTATTTCATATTTATGGTTGATGAGATTTCAATACAACTATTATATGCTTTAAGTTTATAATTATTAAACATGAGTACTGGCCCCTTCTTGCTATTTAAAAGCTTGTTTATCTTCAATTTCTTTAATTTTTTTTTAAGAGAGATTTTTGCTATAGGGTGCATGCACTCTCCAGAGATACAGAGAGAAAGTGAGAAATCAACCAGCAGAGCAGATGGCCATGCCACAATCCCTTCTCCTCCATTTTCCTCTTGGGATTTTGGGCATACATGCACCCCACATGAGTTTCAAGCCACTGGGTCTGGGACTCGAACTGCAGTTGGCCAAGTAGAAGTCTGATGCCTTACCCACGCCATCTCCTGCCTCCCCCCCCGTTTTCTTAATTCTCAGCTCTCCAATGACAGTTTGTAAGTAGAATGCAGAAAGCCATTAAGTTAAATTGTCACTATGACTTACAAGACCCTTAATGCGTTCACGTAATACTAAATGTGTATATAGCGCCAGCTGCCACGTGTTCATTCACGGAGCTCATCTGGTCTCAGAACAGCCTTCTGACGTACTGGTACTGTCATTCCTGTCTTACGTGAGGAACTAGAGCTCCGAGATCCAGAAATGTGCCAGGACACACAGGTAGCGAGTGGGAAAGCTGGAATTCGAATGTCGGGGTTCTGGCTCCAGAGTCCACCTTTATAACTCCAGCATTAGATTGAC